CGTCTGAAATTGCGACGGGCGCTGAATCCACCGCGCCTCTGACATAACCCGCGTTGCACGCGGGCTCAACATGGGCAAAACCGCTTGGAAATTGATCCCTGCCCGCGCGAGTTGGCAATTCGAAACGCGCGCCAAATTTCAGAGGCGCAGTGCAAACATTAGGACTACACTTCGTCATGATAGCAGTTGACCGGTCGTCTCGACGTCGTCGTCGACTAGATCGATCGGCAAACGTCAAGGCACAAAACAACACCGGACTACAATCACCGCCGTAGTCATTAAGTGAAACTGTCGGTGATCAGCGCGCCCCAGGAAGCGCGTGGCTGAGCCGCTGGCCTCCGGTAGTCAATGTCGCGACTGTCCGGGAGGGTTGGCGCGGAATCGGCGCCGGCCTCCGACCTCCTCCTTTGCCCTCTGCGCTCCCTCTGCTGCTGGCGCTTCCTCTGACTGCCCTCTTCACTGCCAGCGTCGGACCCATGTGCGGAAAACGACGTGGCCACGTTAGCTGCAGCCGACTCAGCTTGCTTCTGAGCGCGCTCACATAGTGTCCCCCCTGATTTCTGCGCAGCCTGCTCCCGCGTGTCACCTTGTAACACTTCGTCGGGAGTCAACTCCCTGCGCCGTCGATAGCCAGGTGGATCGCCCTGTTGGCCTCGGCATCTGCCTCTCGGAAAGCATGGCAAACCACCTTCTGCTGCCGTTCTGCAGATGGACCCTTGGGCGAAGTTCTGGCATCTCTGGGCCAGGGGGTAGTGGCCCTATCCCTGGTGCCATTGCCTTTGCCCTCGTCATATTTGTCTGACTCGGGCTTCGGAGCCGTCTCATGCGGTTGTGGCGCGGCAGCTGCGGAGGGCTTCTTGTGACTGTATGGATATTTCAACTCCATGCTCGGGCATCGACCGTCGCCCTGCTGAACGCATGCACACGCGATTTCCCCCCATCGCCTGTCCATCTCTGGCCTTGTCAGCGGGCGCCCCCCATGAGTTCTTCGGCAGAGTGAGACCTAGAGCAGCACCCACGACTTCGAATCCCCGCCGATCACTGAATATCCTCTTCCGACAATCGAGATAATTCATCCCGCTCCTTGTTATCAGATCTTCGGCAATTGCCAGGGCGACCACTCGCGCGCGCTGACGTCCGCGCCGACTTGGGCACTACTCAACTCGTAAGACGTGGTCGCCCACATCGCCTTCGAAACTATCTCCATCAGCATCAGCACATAGATATGCGCGCGCATTGCCGCTGCCACTTCGGGGGGTGAGTCAGAGCCCCCGTGCAAGGTCACAATGCAAAAACCATGTTTTCATTGTTGCAATCACATAGATCCTCAGATGTTTCATTCTCTGTAATGACGATGTTTAAACCTGTCCGGCACCGCCATATTTCTGCCATGCTCTGCGCGGGCGGCGAGCCACTGGCAGATCAAACGCGTCATCTCGCGCCCCGCGAGTAGACGGGATTCATTGCGCGCGCCGCATCTGCGAACAATTCCCAGCGAGGTCCGAAACAATCACCATGCCCGTTCTTTCGCACCTCCCCGAGTTCAACGGAAGCCTTGGATTTGCATCGGGATCTAACGCGTGAGTGTTCCACAGTATTGCCCCCGCCGCGTCGGGCGAGGTTGGCGACGTCGCCTCGTCGCATGGAGTCTCCGTTCTCGCAGCGCGCTCGCGTCGGGAATCGGCATCAATTCGATCTCCGATGCCTGCGAGACTTGTTTCCAGAAGTCGAAAGGATATGCAATGGGTCCGCGGTAGTTTGCGTCGCCGCCCACTCCCTCACCACCGCCGCCCGCCGCCTTCGCCCCCGGCTGAGCCGCGAGCAGAAGGCGGCGGGCCGGGTGGCTCCTCGGGAGCGCCAGGCGGATCGGGCGAGGGATCTTCGGACGGCGTGAGAGATTCGGGAAATGTCGGCGCTTCCCGAATACTTTGCTTCGAATATTCTTGAGAAGTACAATCACCGTCCTTCAAAGCAGAAGGCCACGACTTGTCTTCCATCGACTCAGATGGCCAAGCTTTCTCTGGTTCCTCTCGTTCGTTACGCATACTCATGAGAATATCCCCTTTTTCCTTAATGAGGCCAACCAAGCGCGCCTGCTGCCGCCGGCGTCGAGAACGCCAACGTTCCTCCTCCTGACGTTTTTTCAAGTAGCTTCCGCTTCGGATTCCGACTTGTCCCGGGCACATCCCTTGAGTCGCTTTGTCGCGGAGCCACTGCAGGCATCGCGACATGGCAAGGCACATTGGACGCAATTGCATCTCCTTCCACTCTGCAACAAGTGACACATCTGTGCGTCGCCAGGGGCAACAGCGACGCGCAGTCGCGGCTTCCTCTCTGGGGCCTAGTATGTTGAACTTTCTGGCACCAAAGGTTGAGCGTCGAACGCCAGTCCGCTCGACCTACCACTCTCCGACGAACGACACCTTGCTAGTGCATTAGCAACACATGAAATTCTAGCGAGGTCAACCTTTACCACGGACTGAGTCAAATAATCAACTCATTGTGTGCCTCTCTCTTTCTGGCAAGACCCTCAGCAATCAGATTCGTTTCTGCTTTCATAAGCATTGCCTGGCCAGCAGATGTGCGCTCTCGAAATCTCCCTTGTTGTACGAGCGCAGGTGCTTCTTCATTCGCATCGTGGACAAGGGCGGCCGATTGTTTGGCCCTCGCAAGCACCGCTTCCTCCTCTGACCGATGAGAACTCCTTGCCTCCATCTCCACCTTATGCAGCAGTTGATGAGTACTTGCCTCCTTTACAGCCATTTCACCAGCTTCTCGGTTTCCTGTTTCTGTTACCTTCTGCCTTGCTGACTTCTCCAACTTATTATTTCGTTTCCCCGCTTCCATCCGAAACAACTGATTTGTTTCCGACGCTGCCTGCCGGCCTAAATGGGCCTGTTGCGTCGACCGCAGAAGGGCCCCCTCTTCGTTATGAGTCATCAGGACTTGCTCAGCCGGTTCATCACACAGCGTCCTGTCATTGGTTTGCCTTTTCTCTGCCTCCGCCTGCTGCCATTCTACAAGGGCAAGGCGAGGACACTTGCGTTCTGTCCTGTCTATGCATTCAAAACGAAGCCAACTGATATTGCAAATTTGGTATCGCGTGAGCAGCCTCCGCGCACGGGTCGATGACACGGACCTTGCATGTTACGCGCCTTCCCTGGGCACCTATTCTCCGCTAGCGAGCTACATCGAGGCCCTCTGGCCGCCCGACAGCCCATTTTCAACGAAAGGCCGCCGGAAGACCACAAGATCCTTGACTGCTCTTCGATCAGGCACGCATTCTGGATGCTAGCGGCGATCTGGGCACGGATCTCCTGGCGACAGTATGGGGGGCAACGCTGGGGTCAGCGGTGCCTCTGAACTTCAGGCATAGCTGGACACTGCTGGTCGTCAACTAGGTCCGTTGCCAAGCTGGAGGTCTGCAAGGGAGTCATGTTCCACGCTTGCGTCCTCAGGCACCTTCGGACGCTTGGCCTCAGGTGTCTCTCCCGTGCTGTCCCTTGCGTGATCCGTTTGGGGTTTGATCAAAGTTTCCTTACCTCTGATAGACGGAAGGTCAATATCCATATCATTTTCCAGAACAGCCGAGAGTTCATGGTCCAGGTCAATTTCGCCCTTCGCTGGTTTAACAAGCAGCATTTCGCTGTCTTCCATCGGAGCAGAAGGATCACCAATCAATGAGATAGTACAAACACCTAGACGGATGTGACCTAATGCATCATTGCGTGGATGTTCGGCTGGTCTGGCGCGGTGTCAGGGGACACGATACCGCGCTGGTCTGGCGCGGTATCGTGTCCCCTGAACCGCTATCCTCCGATATCGTGATATCGTGATATCGTGTCCCCTGACACGATATCCCCCGATATCGTGATATCGTGATATCGTGTCCTCCCGACCCCCCCCCTGACACGATATCCCCTATATCGTGATATCGTGCTATCGTGATATCGTGTCCTCCCGACCCCCCTGACACGATATCCCCCTATATCGTGATATCGTGATATCGTGTCCTTCCGACCCCCCCCTGACACGATATCCCCCGATATCGTGATATCGTGATATCGTGATATCGTGTCCTCCCGACCCCCACCGGGACGCCTTGCGACCACAATGCTTGTTTCTATCTTCAAACAGCTGCCGCGGCGGAAGGGTGCGAGAGGGCGGCAGGGAGCGAGCAGGGAGAGAAGAGTAACAACTCATCTTCATCAGCATCAGCATCACCAGGTTTATGATGATCATTGTCATCAACAGTAGCAGCATCATCACCATCCTTATCATCACCATTGTCATTACCAGCATCGTCACTGAAACCACCACCATAGTCATAATCATCACCAACAGCAGCAACATCATTGTCAGCAGCATCATCACCATCTCCATCAATCATCAGCAGCATCAGCGTCAACGCAGGCATCGCCATCGCCATCGTCATACACATCAGCATCATCAGCAACACAAGCAACAGCATCGCGACCAACCTCAATGCCAACAGCATCGCCATTGCCATCGCCTGGGTCATCGTCATTCATATCAGCAGCAAGATCATTATCATCAACTTCTTCAGCAACATCATCATCGCCAGCGCCATCACCATTGCCTTCGTCATCGTCATCCACATCGTCATCGACATCGCCATCTTTATCATAATCACCATCACCAGTATCATCGCCATTATTACCATCAGCATCATCGCCATCATCATCGTCTTGATGAATGATACTGCTAATCATCATCGTTATCATCATCACGATTACCATAATCATCATCGCCGTTATCACCAACATCCTAACCAGTCTCATCATTATCATCATCATCATCATCATCATCATCAACATCATCATCATATCCTGATACTGATCTCACTCCTCCTCATCATCAACACAACCCTGCTCCGATCGCTACCTCTACCTCCTCCTCGTCCTCTACGTCCTCCTCCGTTCTCCTTCGCCATCCTCCAGGTCCCTGTCCTGCCCCTCCAACCCCCTTGCAACTGGGGCCTCTTCGAGCCGGCGGCGAAGGCTCTCGAAGGTGCTGATGCTGGCCTGGCGGCGGGCGGCGGCGCTTCCCGCGCGCTCCGTGCTGCCTGTCTTTCCGCCGTCGTTCCGGCCGCCCTCGGACGAGCTCTTCGGCGCAATCGGGAAGTCCCCGCATCCCCAGGAAAGAGGAGGAGGGGGATAACGACCAGTGTAAACCCAAGACGCATCAATGATGTTTCAATAAACCCTCCCTCCAAGATCCTTCTTCGCAGGTCCCTTAAAAAGTTCAAATGCGGGAAGTGGCCCATTCGAAGACAACCGCCCGAGAACCCACTCGTGCCAAAACACCTCCTTGGACTTCAACACCGCGCATCAACGTGAGTGCTGTGCCCTGAAAATCCCACATCGAACCAGAACACCATTCCTGGGACTTCAACCCCACGAATCAACGTGAACGTTGCGTCCTGACAGTCCTGCACCGCGCCAGACGGCCGTTCCTGGGACTTGGATCCGACGAATCTAAAAGACCGGTACAACGTGTCAAAACGAAAATGCGCGGCGTGCGGGCGAAACCACATTTTGAAAAGGAAGCGCCCTCCATCCTTGAAACTGCCGCAACCTGTCAAGACGAATGTGCGCAGCGCTGAAGCGAGAGCCACAATTTGAAAACCACCCATCCTCCATCCGTGAAGCTGCTGTCACATTCAAGCCTCAGGATCCTTTCGGCGGGGGACAAACCTCCCTTAGTAAACCACCCTTTACCACCCTTTAGTGAAAATGTCCTAGGACCGAAACCGACGGACCTGGTCCCGCAAAAATAACGGCCGTGACGACATCTCGCGAACCGAAAACAGCCAATTCACTAATCGACGTGTCAGGGTAGGAGGTCTATCAACCTCCGATCATAAGCGGCGAGGAAGTCTCGGGCGGAATGCCGGGCCCGCCCCGGCCGACGCGCCCGGGAGCGCGACAGGGAGGAAGTACTTTGAAGGAGTATAAGCGATGTAGGAGGAGGGAGGACCTCCCTGCTCCTACATCGCTTATCTTCCTTCATACATCGCTTATCCTACATCCCTCCTCCTACATACCTCCTCCTACATCGCGATGTGGGAGGAGGGAAGACCTCCTCCTCCTCCTCCTCCTCCTCCTCCTCCTCCTCCTCCTCCTACACACGCACGGAAACGGGCTGCGGACGCCGCAGCGAACGAGCACGCCGATTTCGCAACACTTTAGCCGCCGTCCGTCCAGCCCCTCGCCGACGACGAGCAGGTGAACCAGATGCTGGAAGGGCTGTCGTTTATATCCTCCTTGCGATGTGATACGTGCGATCGCTGCAACGGTCGTCGGTTCGTGACGCCAGCTTTGCACGAGTTCCCCGCGTGGGCGTGCGAGACGGCCGGGGCCCGTGCTGGACTCTTCCAGCAGACAGGGTGGCGATTGACGCTGGACCGGAGTTCCGGGCGAAAGTACTGCGCGATGTGTCTGCCGATCGTTTTGCAGTCGGCCAAGACGGCGCGCCCCGTGCCGCCGTCGCCGGATTTCGGATTAGATTGCACGGTCATCGATGCGCTGACGGACTTTGAAGAGTTGTTGCTGTGCCCGGTGCGCTGCGTCGTACAAGTGTACGTGATTTGGGCAACTGGCCACCTGAAGTACAGGAACTTCACGTACGGAGTGGAACAGGACGTGGCGCGCTTCTTCGAGACAGTGCCGCCCGAGCCCGAAGACGTGCCCGCTCTGCAGATCAAACGCGGTCATCTGAGCTGGCGGCAGCCCTTCGTCGCCAATCGATCCCGGCTCTTGGCTGCATATGCGTGGTTGCGAACAAAAGAAAAGTACATGGCTCGCAAATGGAATTCCTGGTATTCAGAACAAGGCCCAGACTCCCAGGTGCCCGTGCCGACCCGCGAGCTCCCTGACGGAACGGACAACTTGGAGATCGGCCGTGAGTTGGTGAACGAGTGGCTCGGGAACCTGGATGCAGTGGAAGGCGCTGGTCTTGCGGCCAAATGGCAGGCGCATCGCAGCTCGCATTCCCGCGACGCTGCTGGAAGCCAAGACTTCGATCTCGCGCGACGCGCGATAGCATCGAATTTGCACGTTGTACTGAACAACCAAGGGCAACACACGCACGACCAGATCGCCGCTCTGTGCCGGGACGCACGGAATGCATCGACGTATCGGCTGGTGGACTTCGCCGCGCACATGTCCTTGCTGTGCGACGTCGGCGAGGACGAGATCATGGTCGAAGGCGCGGGCCAGATCCAAAGGCACGCAGCTGCGCAAGACACGCAACGGAGTGGAGGCGTTGGCTACGCCGACGGAGACGAGCGAGGCTTCGAGGAGCACGCGGGCGCCGAGGAAGCCCTGCAGAGTTTTGCCAACGAGATCGCCGCAGCGACGGGGGCGATCGCTGCATCTGGCATTGATCCGACGCCTGATGCTGCTAGCCATGCCGCACAAGAGCGAGGCCGCGCGGCTTTGGCAGAGCTGCGAAGCATGACCGTGCTCCAAGAGCCACCACGCGGACAAGCGGCAGCAGAGAACGCGCCGTACATGATGGCCAACATGTTCTTGAAGGTGCACCCCTGCTTGGAGGGCGACTTCAGTGACTGGACGGGCACGTTCGTCGACTGGGCGTGGTCGGTCACTGTCCGGAGCCAAGGCCGTGCCATGCGACATCCGAGGTGGCGTTGCGCTGTCCTCGACCGGCTTTGGCGCTCTGTAGCCGCGCAGAGCCGGAAGGCCTTCTGGCGCGGGGCGCCCATCGACGCTCACGAGGCCGAGGAAAAGATGAGAACGCACGACGGCGTGAAGAAGCTCGTGGGCATGCTAAACATGTTCACAACGCCCTTGCCAGGATCTCCGAAACAGAAGGGTATGGACCTGTCTGACTTGGAGGCGATTCTCGCTCAGTGCGACGACGAAGGCCTCAGGGCAGCCCTCTTCGTCACGCACGCGTGCCCCGCGTCCAAGCACGCACTGTGCCAGCAGTTGATCCGCCAGTACGGAGGCGTCAACGGACCACCTGCCGTCGCGGAGGACGTCGTTGAGGACATCGCGACTTGGCAGCGGGACGCCAATGCGAATGCGTTCTTGGTTGCGTATTATGCAGAGTTGCGGTTGACACTCGCGTTGGACTTCCTAGCGCATCACGTCCGTTCCGTATGCGGCCTTGCGCCAGAGGACCGGATCGATTACTGGGTGACTCCTGAATGGGGCACGCATTTCGGCAACCGGCATGACCACATCGTTCTCCTTCTGCCCCGCGTGCCGAACATCGCGTTCGACGCAGATGCGCTGGGCGACGACGTCGACGGGGACTTCGATGGGGCGCCTGATCTGAGCGACGATAACGTCAATGCCGTGGTCGATTTCTTCGAGAAGATCGTGCTTGAGTGCAACTTGGGGAAGCCTTCCGTAGACCACGCCGACGACGAGACCTTCTGGGCAGTGGGGTGCAAACGCGCGCGAAAGGCAGCGCGTGCGCAGGCGAGGGCGGCCGGGGAGATGCTCGGTCTAGCTGACCTCGAGGAGTTCGTGGACCCGCGGTGCTACACCGTAGCCGCCCTCAGGAACGTATTTGCTGACCTGTCCCAGTCGCGCGGTAACTTAATCCAAGGCCGTGTCGATTACGTCTCCCGCCTCGAGGACGTCTCGTAGCACGACTACCACGAGCCGCGCCCGTGGGCCACGCCGAAGAGCGGGACGTGCATGCGCTCTCGGGATGGTCTGACGCACTGCAGCGGAGGTTTTCCCAGAGAAGCAGTCGGGCGAGGAGGAGAACGCATTCTGCCCGACCCTCACCGCAGGGGCGTCTTTGGTTTACGACTCCTGCGCAACTGCGCGCACGTGACGCCGCGCTTGCCCCTCCCCAAAGCCATGGCGCAGGCGAGCCTGGACGCGCAGCCGATCCTCACCATGGGCGGGCTCTCGGCGCACATGAACAAGCTAGCAGCGCACGTTTCCAAGGGGCGGAGTTCCGGACACGACAAACGACAGCTCGGAGCCAAATTATTCGAGGAGTGCCGGAAGAGGTCCACGCACGGCGGCGCCTTCGACGTCATTGCAAAGTACACGAACCGCACCCAGGCCACCGCGGAGATTGTCGACCTCGAGGTTTCGCACCACCTGATGGGATTGCCGGCCCGGAAAGTTTCTCGTTCCTTTGCCGCGCTCTCGTTGGACGGCGGCCAGAAAAGCATCCTGAAGGGCGCCGAGTTGAAGCGCGCCATCGAGCAGGCCGGCGGGGAGAGGGGCGCCAAAATGTCCAAGTCGGAACTCGACATGTACGAGACGCGCTGCCCGTGCGTCCAGGGCGACTCTGAGTACATGTGCAGTTGGTTGCAGCATGCTTGGACGATGGCGGACGCCGACGGGCTGTCTCGGTCCGCCGTGCAATGCCCGCTCTTCCTGGCAAGCCGGTACGTCTTCAAGGCGTCCTACGGTTACGACGGGAGGACGGGCGAGCGCGTGGGCCTCGACGTGCCGTTGATCGTCAAATTGAAACCGTACCTGAAGTTCAGCGCTGCAGGCTACAGTTACGCAGAGCCTGCATTGGAGCTGCTGGCGCTTTTCGTCAACTTCCCAAACGAGCTGTTACCCTCGGCGAGGGCGGTGCTGGAGATGGATCCAGGCACCTGCGCGCCTTTGTGGGAACAGATCGCCGTCGATCAGTCTTTCCGGGAAGCGAAGGGCATCGCGAAGCCGCCTGACTGGGCACTGAAGAAGTGGAAGCACGGGGGCGGCGTGGTCCAGGGAAAGGGCAGAAGCAACGCCCCAGCCTCGCGCGCGGCGGACCGGGGAGGAAGAGACCGAGGAACCCCGGCGAAGCGACCTGCGAGATCGCGAGGCAGAGGGCCGAGACGCTTTACGCAGCATGTGCAACTCGAAGACAGCAGATGCCCACCATGCCCAGCGGATTGCCCAAATTCGTCATGCGACGGCGGTTCTTCCTGGTCATAGCGCCGAAGACTTGCGAGTCGCGTTGCTGTCTTTGCGACTCCCTTTGGATGCTGAGCACGCGGTCTCGTTTGACGCGGCCGAGTGCGGGCCCGGTCTTGCCG